TTGCTAGGGACTTGCCCGGCACTTGCTCTCTACCTCTATTTGTTATCTTTCTTCTATCATTGACAGTCCCTCTAGGTTGTGGGCTGCTTGCCTGTGTTCCTGAGAAGCATCTACGGTACCAGTCTATAGAGTGTGTTTTCTTTAGTGAATTACCGGTATGTTTACCGGTAATAAACTTGCACTGTTTTATGTATATGTTTGATTACATACAGCCTTGTGACAGTTTTCCTGCATGTCATAAGCATTTGAATATAAATTAAAATGTTAAAATCAAATCTGATATTGTTTTACCTTTTATTTGGTGTGTGGAAGGTGTGCGGAAGAGGGGGTAGTCTTATACGGCGAGTATATAACAAACTCTGTATTTTGAGTGGAAATGTTAGGGGGTCGTCTTATACGCCCAGTCGTCTTATACGCCGGCAAATATGGTAACTCCTCCTCCTCTGGCACCAAAGGAGTTACTTGCACCCGGAAGCTGAAACCTGCCCTCATCTTCTTGGTAAGGGCCTCTAACTCTCACACGTCCAGAAGTCTTACTGAGTCACGCTCCCCAGCGTTTCCAATAGAACTCAGCATGTAGCTATTGTTTTTCTTTGTTCGTTTTTTGTTTTTTTTTTTATCATGCCCGACCTCCAGAGGTCAAGATATACCTTCCAGCTACTTGGGAGGTGCTAACTGGAGGAATAAAGGCAATAGTTTAGGTAGACATTAAGTTTAAAAAAACTCCAAAAAGCACTAAAACACGGTACCTGCTGAATGTGGTGTTGAGGAATCTTTTCTACTCCAAAGTTCCTGTTCACAAAGAGAAGAGCGTAGATGTAGCCCACTCGTCCATAGAGCATTTCATTTGGAGCGTGGGGATCAACCTTATTTAGGTGAATTAGCCTGGGAAGAAAAATACATGCTTGAGATAATGTGAAAGGAACTAGGTAGTGGTATATACCAAAAATCGCACCTTTAAAAAACACACATGAATATATTTATTATATTTTTTAAAAATTTAATATATAGTTATAATTAATATGTATGTTGTTTTACATTAATATTAGTGGGCTGGACCAGAGCACCAACGATAGTCAGGATTCAAAGATTAACCCGTAACTAAATTTCTCTTCTTCAGTTCACAATGGAACTGTCGAACAAGATACTCAAAGAAGGAAATAATACAGGCGTAGGGCTGGGGCCACCTGGAGCCTCCCTAGCTCCTCAACAGAGGCAGGCCCTGAGACTAGCAGCTGGGGTCAGAGAGGCTAAGACTGCTGGCTGTTAGGGAATTCTGCCTGAGAAACAACTAAGTCAACACTCAAAGCGCCTTCTATTTCTGTAAAATGAAATGTACAAGTGAAGGAAAAAATCATTGTCTGTCCCCTCCCAACGCCTCCCACCACTTCCATAGGCCTGTGGTCTGACAAGGGGAGCACACAATTTAAAGTGAAGAAGACATGTTTTTATAACCAGAATGAGATGATTTTAGTGACTAAAAGGGGACAACAGTTATGAAACAGACTGAGAAAAAGTTAGGAAAGGGTCCTTAAGTGAACTTATTCCCCAGCAAGAAAGAGGGGTTTGAAAAGTATGGCTGCTTGCAGTTACTGACAAAGTTAAGCATTTCCATATTATATTTCAACAAATGGACGTATTTCAATCAAACTGTTCAAATATGCAAATGATGGCTCATGCACTCTTTTTCTTCTATAAATACAGGCATTAAACTCACAGTGGAACGAACAATGGTTATCTTAGGTACAGAGACACAGTGGCAAGAGATTGCTTTTGATTTTCTTGTAATACCTTGACTTTGTTTTTTCCCAATGTCAACATGGTCATCTGGAAGGTAGAATTATGGGCTATTTTGTTTCCTACTTCAGTATCATACACACACACTCCTAATATTTAAAGAATTTAAAAACATATAATAAAAATTCTTTTTTAAAAATGTCTAACTGGCAGCTTAGTAACATTGAGACCTTAAGAAAATAAAATCTGTTTACTAGATATGAATTCACCTGTTGTAGTAAACAGAATAAATGTGTCAGAGTCTTGATAAGAATTTATTATCAAGTTTTTATGTAACTGTATCAAATTGTATAGTTTGGATATAAGAAAGCACTTTTGATTTACTTTTGCAAAGATTAAGAATCTATTCAAAAAGAGAAATTACCATGAACTTTTTAATCAATCACTACACTGTGGAAGTTACTCAGAATTAATTATTAATTATTGCATTAACTCCAATGATGTTTTTATCTAAATAAAATATGTTTGAACCACTATATTAGAAAACAGTTTTATTTGCCATCATTATGACCTGCATTACCACTAGGTGGCAATATATAATTAGCATTCCAATTATTTTGCAGCCAAATTTTTTTGGATTTGGGAAGTTTAAAGTAGGTAGCAAATACCTTCACGAATCTTTTAAAATAAAGTATTGCTCAGAGTATCTCCTTAAAACAATCCTTTACAGTGTTGGGTAATAAACTAGGTATTCCATTCTTTTCTGGATTTGAATTCACATCATTAAAATTCATTAGTGTGTCTGAACATTATTAAAGGTAGGACTTTTACAGTAAACAGAATAAATGTGTCAGAGTCTTGATAAGAATTTACTATCAAAGTTGCCAGGAGTTCGGGAGGAGGGAAGAGGAATGAATAGGCAGAGCACAGAGGATTTTTAGGGCAGTGAAACTACTCTGACTGATACTATAATGATGGAAACATGTCATACATTTGTCCAACCCATAGAAAGTACAACACTAAGAGTGAACTGTAATGTAAACTGTGGACTTCAGAGACTATGATGTATCAGTGTGGGTTCATCGATAATAACAAGTGCACCACTTTGATGGGGAATGCTGATAATGGGGGAGGCTGTGCATGTGTGGGGGACAGGCGGCATATGGGGAATCTATTTACCTTTCAATTTTGCTGTGAACTGAAAACTACTCTAAAAAGTAAAGTCTATTAAACAACGAAGCCAAACAATAAAACCTTCGCTGGAAATGTAACTCTCTGTATGTCAGCGTGCTCAGTGGGAAGCTACCATGCATGCAGAGTTGCATGGCAGTCAGATTTCTTAGCAGAATTCTGAAAGGGTGTTCATTAAACTCTAATAAGGCAAAAATTGTAATTTATTAGTACAAAAGTTTGGTAAGTCTTCATAATTCACCACCTTCAGTGGACTGCCCTGACTTATATTAAAAATAAAAGGCGGGATTTGCATATCATTTGTCCTTAAAAAAAGCAGTTTTGCATCAGTTTGTATATCCTTAGAGGCCTTTCTCAACTCACCACAGGAAGTGAACTGCATATTTTCAAAGTATTGATCTTGGATAGCACGTTGGGTTAGTAATCATATAAGTAGGCTTTTGATCATTATTGTTACTGAAACTGATGTTTGACCTGGATTGTGTCAGTGTTATTATATCTTGCAATAAAGTAGGGATAATGGTTGTTTCTTAACTATAACATAAGAAAAATGTCAGAATTGATCAAATGATAGTGCTAAGATTTGTTGCTGAGAGGAAAGTAAATTCACTAAAATGTCCTTTTATAACACGTAGAATTAATGCATAATAACAGGTAGCTAAAAATCCGTTAAGAGAGCCATGATTACCGGGTGATGCAATCTTCTGCCTGTTTCTCATTGCTCATCTTGTGATACACCACAGCGGCCACAGCCAGCGGGCCTGCATCCCCACAAAGGAAGGTGATGGAACGCTTGGACAAACAGTTCAGACTTTGCTTTACGTAGCTATGTGCCATCTGGAGGTAGGCAGGGTCCCCGAACACATCATAGAGATGTAGGTAAAGCACAGCAATACCTGAAAAGCAAAAGGAAAACAATGTAAAACACGACGAAAGGGCAGCTGGCTGTATTGTCTTGGTGTGCTGCCTCCTCAGCAGTGTTGATTCTGACAAGCTGTAATAAATATGTAAACTATCCGGTTGTTCAGATGACCTTAGTTCTAGACTCAGCTTTACTACCAAGCAGCTCTAAGAACCAGACACAGACAAACACTTCATTGTTCTAAGCTTCCTCATCATTGTAACTCTATAGGAACTCTAAGACTCTCTACGAACTCTAAATCTAAGTTTATTAATAATCTTTGTTGCACTCTAGCTATTGTATTAATGTAGTCTTCATGGTTAAATGATAGGTTATGAAAACTATGGTTCCAAATAAAGTCACTTATTTATTTAACAAATAATAATTTACTTAATAATAAACAAGAGATGTTTGTTCATGTGAGCTAAAGAAATCATGTAGTTAGGAAATGAAAATTCAATTTCATATATGTGTGTGTGTGTGTGTGTGTGTGTGTGTGTATATATATATATATATATATGAATTTTTTTTTCATGAGAAGGTGGTAGAGTAACCAAATTCCCTACCCCAGTATCATTCCAGGCAGGGATTACAAGAAAACTAAGTTGAGAAATGAATTAAACTCCTTTGTATTTTTTTCTCTCTGTTGAGAATCCAACTTCTTTAGGAACTATATTGTAAAAGTTGCCAAGGACTTTAGCTTTGGGCCTTAATTGGCTTCCTATCCTACTCTTGAAGCCCTGTATGTAATTGTGCAGTTGTCTGTATGTCCCTATTCCAAATACCTGTCACAGCAGAGACAGCCTCCCTCTGAAGACTTCCGGTCTCAGGGCAGACTCAAAGAGGTGGCACAGGGAGCCTGCCTTCAGCATTTCTATAAACTCATTTTTCTCCTTAAAGTACATTTTCCATCTCATTTACCATTTTTAAAAGATAGAGAGCTTCTGTTTAAATCTAAATTAATAGAGCCAATCTCTTCACAAATTTCAATGCAGTAAAAATGCAGTCTGCAAAATTACTTTTCACTGTACTGAGGACAATTTTAAATTTAGGTAGTTTTCTCATTTTGCATGGGTAATCTCCAAAGCTTTGTGCTACAGACAATTCAATTTCACATGTATATTAAGACCAAATTTTCATTTCCTGCCAAAGTTAATAACGTTGTCTGCTCTTTCAAAGTGGCTTGGCATTAGTAATTCCACAAGCTGAGATGATCAGATGTACCAATGCTTAAGGTTTATAGATGTAAGTGTGCAAAACCCCATATGTGGGTAAGAAAAGAAATCTCCTTTTCACAAATGATCAATGTCAAGAGCTTCTTCTAGAATTAGGTTCTTAATGGGCTTCATCTCATCCACACCAGGCATCTGCAGGCAATCTGTTTAAATTGTTACCCTTTCATTTTGCCCTCCTATTCCCATCGCTGCCTGAACTCCCTTAATTAAGTTATGTAAGCACCAAAGCCAGATAATGACATGACTGAGATCTGAGAAAATAAAAAGTGATTAAATACAAGCCCAATGATTGCTTTCCTTTGCAGACCTTTCTCTCATTATCAACAATTCCTCTTGGCCTACGTATTTAACAAACAAAGCCCATGAAGTTTTGCAATTGTAAGGTTTGATGTATTTCTCATGAAAAGAGGGTAATCACTTCTCAAGTCTCACAGTATTTCATTTAAATAAAATATTTTGTTTTTTTCTTTCTGATCAACAGAGCCAGCCTCTGGGATTTCAGGTTCTATTTCTCTCCTTCTCATTCTGGGCATCAGTGTCCGCTTATTTTGATTAGGCAATCTCATCCAGGTTGCAATTTATGGTGTCTACCTTCCTTGTCACAAAACACCTAAGGATGAAAAGGGTTTCAAGTGAGGGGTGCTGTGGCCAATTAGAAAAATGTCTGGAACAAGCTTATTATATTTAGTCTAGGTCAGAAAAATTAGATAAAATGCCTAAGTCAAAGACAATGCCTCATCAGTATTTTATACCCCAGATGCACTACTTTAATCCTGGTCGTGTAGCTAAGTTGGTTAGAGCATCATCTTGATAGGCCAACTTTGTGGGTTTGATGCTGGTCAGGGCACATACAACAACCAACCAATGAGTGCATAAATAAGTGGAACAACAAATCAATGTTTCTCTCTCTCAAATCAATCAATACATTTAAAAAAATTAAAACAAATAGAAAATAATGGAGGAACTACCTGTGGCCAAATGTCTTAAATCTGATTCTTACAATTTTCCAACCACTGAAAATATTCATGTAGGAAAAACTCATCCAGTCCTTCTATATACTCAGCGCTCTGGAGTCAGCCTCGGCTTTAAAAGACTCTTTTCTAATGTAATTTATCAAAATAAATACTGTATGTTTGTTATGGAAGAAATTAAATACTAGTAGTAATGCCTGGCTTAATATACGTATGCAGTCTCATGCCCCACTCTATTCCTGCCTCCCAGAAGCAATCACTTTCAATATTAGTCGTTTCCTCTAGTATCTGCCTCCATATTTCTAATAATAATATGCTTATGTGCTAGCGCATCATTTCTCTTTATCAAATATTTTGACTCACAATCCATTTTGGAAGATGAGACTATGATAGAGACTGCTAAGTGGTCCCCCAAAATGTACCTCCCTTTCCTTCAACAATAACGGCCTGGATTTTAGCTAGGCAAGGGCTGCCCTAACAGTCTTCTTTACAGCTGACCAAGTGAGACATAGTGGAAGTAATGGGGATAATTTCAGAAAATGTTCTTGAATCGAGGGACTTTCCATTTCTTTCCTCCTGACTGGAATACACTTCGTACAGTGTAGCTAAAGCAGCCATGTTAGACCATGAAGTAGCAGCTCTGTGATGAGGATGGTAAAGCACCAATATCAAAGAAGCTTAAATCCTGAAGGACTGTGAAGCTGTCCTGGATTGCCTTTATACAAAAGAAAGACATTCTGTCGTGTTAAAGCCACAGTTCCTTTAGGTGTACCCCCACATGCTGGTAAGCCTACTGCTGAAGGATGCAGCTCTTTTTGAGCTGGGGAGTGAGGCCGTAGGTATATCACATCGTCTGTCTGGAAGGTAAAATCAATGGAACCTGGTGGGGAATGCCTGAGAGGGAGATACCAAGCAGAGAGGCCAAGCAGGCAGCTGGATATGTGAGTTTGGAGTTCAGGAATGAGAGGCTGGACAAATGTCCTCCAAACATGCGGGAAATGTGTTAACTCAAGTGGCCAACGATTCCCTGAGGCATTTCAGGAACAGCTGGAGTACAAGACTCATTAATCCAATGCATGGGAATTGTGTTTGATTGAAAAACAAAAAGAAACTCTATGCTTCTCACCTCCTTTGTGGTCTCGAGAGGCCAGAAGAAACCCAGACATTTATTATTTTGGTCTTAGGTTCCTGGAGCCTGTTTGGTTGCTCAGAACTGTGGTGTCCAACATGCTCACCTTTACAGAAACTTAATTAAAAGTAAACAATATTTAAAATTCTTTGTTTCAGTCACACTAATCGCATTTCAAATGCTCGAAAGCCCTGTGGCTAGTGGCTGCCCTGTGTACAGCAAAGTCACCTTTCCATCCCCACAGAAAGCTCTAAGCACAGCACTGCACTGAACAGAGAGGAGATGGTATTCTGCAGGAGAAGTTCAGGAAGCCTGGCACTGCCCCACAGTTCCTCCTAGAAACCTCTTCTCTTGGAAATGTTGGCAACTACTTGACAGAAAACAATATATACAGTGAAGACCAAATAAAATTTTGCGCTAATAGAAATCTATTCTGGATTTCAGTATGGAAATGAACTAGATTTTTCTCTCCTGTTTCCTTCTGTAGCTACTACTCTGGGAAGGGAGGGTAAACTGCTTAGGGATACTTCTAAATCTGCAATTTCCTTACTCAGCTATTTACCCCGTAGGACTATAAATATAGCCAGCTGTTGAGAAGTAATTAATACTAAGTCTTTGAATTTCTCAGGGATCATTAGTTCCATTCATCTTGACCAATCAAGACCCGGTACTCTCAAATGTATATGGAGATGATAAAAAAAAAACACTCCACAGATGTAAGCACTTCTCTGTAATTGGCATTTCAGAGATTACTCCTTGGCGTTATTCATTTACCAACAATCAGCCCACACTGATGTACAGATCTTTGCCATGGTACTTAAGTTCCATAAGGTATTTCCTTACAGGCCAGGGGCTTTTAAAGACTCTCTTCATGGACCCTGGTAGGAGAAATCATGTTCAGACTACACATTCTGCTGGAGTTACTAGAGGTGCTCAGCTAACACCCAATAATGGGTCACAATAGTTTGAGTGACATGAAGACACTAACTCCCTAAAGGAGGGGTGATGGGTTTTTATAAGTTTCCAATGAATGGTTCACCAGCTGAAACTTTAAATGTTCATTAATTTCTATGTTTTTATTTATTTTCAGATTTATGAAAATATGTGAAATTTCCTCTGATTAACCCCATACAATATAATCATCGGTCCGTCTAGATCAGGTTAGTACTTTATAATGTGTTATTTTGAAGCTGTTTCTCAATTTTGTGAGTGTTTGAGAGCATGCAATTCCATTTCTTCAACAAAATTATAGTTGTCATACCCAGTCGCTGTAGTTACTGTGCATAGTGCTCTGTGTGTGGACACTACTGGCTGTTCAAATATTCCAGTACTACTTTTAATACAGGCAATCTGGGAGGAAACTAGTTGGGAGTCCACAGCCTTAACTTAATATTGCTCCAAAGAAAGGAGTGGAAGAGAAATTAAAGAGGGTAAGTGAGCACTCTGAAGATGTGTCTTCTTTTCTCGAGAACCTATTTGCAGAATTGACTGTCCAATAAAAAGAGAGGTTAAAAAAAAAAAAAGAAGCCCTGGCTGGTTAGGCTCAGTTGGTTGAATATAGTCCCAGGGACATAGAACTTGTGGGTTTGAATCCCGGTCAGGGGGAAAGCAGGATGCAGCTGATAGATGTTTCTCTCTCTCCCCCTTCCTTTCTCTCTAAAATCAATAAAAAAATAAAAAAAGAAGTCATGTTTCTTCCTCCTCTCAGTGCTCTGCAATGTACTGCTTTATAATTGTAAAATTAGGACGCGCTCCTAGTCTTTTATTCAGGCTGCCGTGAGTGATAAATCCTTCAGCGCAGTACTCATGAAGAGCTGGAGCTCAGGGACCTGGCTGGGTAG